TCACCTCAATGTTTAGGTTCGCCACAATATTTCTGAGAGCAACCAAAAATTGACTCTGAAAACTAACTTCAGAGCATGCATCTGAAAAACACTGAACAAGGAAGAGAGCAAAAGAGAACTAGACAAAATGAATTTCCATATTCCTCATTTCTGTGCAATGAGACTTTCTTTAGAAATTTCTCTTTGTCAAGTCTTTCTCCTCCAGGTTGTTTAAGGATACTAACCAGTATCAGGGTTAGTTCAGAACTTAATATCACCAAAACAAAATGGGGTTGTCCATGACAGTTTATGGCTGTGGTGAAACTTGAATGTTCAGTTTGGAATGTGTTCCCATTCTGTACCTTCTCCCACTCTCTTAATAATGCAAGAACCACCCTGCAGAATCAGAGCCAAGGTCTGTGGAGCCCCATACCCTGTCCTACACCGGAGCCAGCCTGGTACCTCTGGGAAGCCCTCTCCCCGATCTGTTCCCCAGCAGCTGACATTCAGAGGCAAGCTGTTCCTTGAGCTGGCATATGGCCATCCATCCACGAGTCACTATTTTCCATAAATATGCCCAGTCCTCCTTCTGAGAGCATCTAAGTTGGTGGCCATCTTCATACCTCACAGCATAGTTTGACTATGCACCTGTGAAGAAATACCTTCTTCTCTCTCCTTGAATCTTCCGCCATTCAGCATCCAAGGCCACGACAAAGGGAGCAAAAGATCTTCTCCATTGCATGCACGATCTCATGAGCTTCAGCCCTACCTCCTTTACTTGCTTCTAAAACCATCAGGCCCAGGTTTTCCTTTCAAGGACAGTGTTCCAACCCCTTTTCATTTTGCTTACAGAATAAAGCGGATACCACTCTAGTAATTCAAAGGACTTTCCACTTCATATTAGTCACTGATTTAATAAAAAAATGCAGCCTCCACAACCCTCTTAAATATATTGGAGCACAGCATATGTTCTTCTGCATCTTCAACACGGCCAAAAGATGTTGACTTTTAAGCCACACGTTCCAGTTCATAGAAGACCTGTGACAGCTGGGCAGAGGAAGCTGCCTTCTCCTGGGATGGACCACTGGTCCTCTTAGACTGGGACTTTCTATTCCAATTATTATATTATTTATTTTATTTAAAGTATTTATACGCCGTCCTGTCACGAAAGCCTCAGGACGGCTCACATAGATAAAATACAATAAAATATAACATAGATAAAATTGTCGGCCCACACTGGTTGCAATAAAAACATATAAGTCATGATATTAAAACTTATTAAAATATTGCTGAAATAAAAAGGTCTTAACAAGTAACGACGGCGCCAGGCAGACCTCTCTGGGGAGTGCATTCCATAGGCGGGGCGCCACCGCAGAGAAGGCCCTCCTCTGGGTACTCAACCTCCTAATGTCTTTCACGGAGGGTTCCCGGAGAAGGGCCTCTGCCGCAGATCTCAGGGGGCAAGAGGGCAATTATCTAATGGGCATTAGCTCTCCAGGAATGTCCAAGATGCTGCACAGGTGTGGTGCTGGCAAAGTTAGTTACCCAGTCAGATGCTAGACTGCCTCCTTTCACCACATGATTAAAGGCAGGACTAGATAAATTTTAATGCTGCATGGCCCCCTCTTACCTTGTATACAGCAAAACCACCAAATTATGTGCAACAGGTGGTTTAGCTTTGTGGGTAGGGGAACTAATGATGCAACCTCTGCCTTGCATAAATTTGTTCAATAAAGTTTTATAGCCAGATTGGGATTAGATCTGCCAGGTCATAGTCCAGCGTTCTGTGCACTGAGCTACATTCTCATGCAACCCAGGCAGAATTATGTGGTATAATTTTTCCTCACCATTCAGACTACAGGGCACAATCTCATATTTGAACATTTGCCTGCAATTTTAAAAAAAGAAAAGTCTTCCCTGTATCTTAAAGAAAACAAAACAAAACACTAGCTATCCTCTTCCATTGACAGTATTCCTGCATGCGAGGAGGAGCATTCTAACACCCGCAGCTGAATCCAGCGAGCCTGTCCCTGGAATCCAGCAAAAGCCACAGCGTGGGATTCTTGTCCTGTCCTGGCAGTTTTCTAAACTGCAAAGCAGTCACAGATGGCTCTACCGTTAAGTGGAGAGGCTGCAGGAGGGAGGAACTGCTTGATCCTTCCCCTGCCAGCGGGTGCTCAGTTGCAATTGCATTTATGAAGCTACTTTCCTTCTCATGCAGAAAAGGCTATTGGGATTCTACACCTTTCTACCTGTAAATGGGAAACCAGCTCAGTGGAAATATCTTGAGTAGAAAAACCATGGAAATTAATAAGCCCCTTTCTATTTTGAATCACCTTTGCCTGTTTGTTTTGTTTTAACTCAGAGCTGGGGAAAGTATCCTGAAATCACATATGATGTATATTTTGGCCATTAATAACATTCCCAACAGATTGCTGTGGGGGCTTATGAGAGGATTGCAAAGCATTTGACCCAATAAAATTATTACTAAGAGGATGAAGAGTAATCTTTACCACGTAGTGAAGGCAGTGTCACCCATATGCCTCCGAGCGTCTGTGGCTCCCCTACCTGCCCACTGACTGAGAGGCAAAGCTCAAAGGATGACAATTACTGTGGCCAACTATTATGTGCGCATGGAGGTCATTCTCGAGATCCTGTTCACACACAGCTGCGGGAGAGTCCTCCTACTCACCTCTCTTACAGTATCAACCCATTGCATATTGAAAGGAAAAGATGCCGATGTGCTCTTTCTCTAGATGAATGTGATGGAAAGCATTCTCTGGGGCGTAGCCGGCAGGGACGACCAAACCACAACAGAGCTTCAAAACAAGGGCTAACCAAAGGAGAAGTCCAATAAGGCCATGGGAAGGATGACTCCGTACACAATTGCTAGGGGACACAGGCAGGATGCTGCTAATGCTCTCGTGACCTGCGAGTGGATTTCCCCACCAGCAGCCTATTCGCCTCTTGCCAAAAGAAAGCTGCATTAGACAGACACTCGATCCACATGGTACAGCTCTTGTGTTCCCAAATATTCTATTTTGTAGCCAGTCAAACCAGGTGATTACAACTAGGTCAACTTAAGACAGGATTGCGCACACAAAAGTGCCCTTTCCAATCACGGCAGGAAATGCCAGCAAGGCGAGAGATAGCACTGGAAAAGAATGTGGGCCATGGGAAGGAAAATCTGTTTGCAGTCTGTTCCCTGGCAAAAGAATCACAAGGGAGGCTTGGTAAAAATCTTATCTATGCCCCTTCTCCTCGATACCTCAATAAGTTCTCAAATATAGAGAGGGGGGAACAAAATAAATCTACTGAGCAAATCAAGGGCAAAACCTGAACTATCCTCATCACCTTACACGCACAATTATAGCAAGCGAAAGAAAGGCAGCAAGTAACAATATCTGAAATGTTCAAAGAAGACCATGCCAGCACTTAGCTGGTGACACTTGAGATGAAGGAGATAATTAAAAGGATGATTGCACCAGCTTGTAGTATTCCATTGATAAGTAAGGTTTTGTACAGGCCATTCACTGTGCTCAGCCATGATACAAGACACCTAAAGAGGGTAAATGCAGTGTTGTTCTAGAGTGACAATGCCTCGGGGCTACGAAATGTTAAAATGCAAGATAAAACAAGCTGTGTTGGGCCAAGTTGAGCCACAAACAACAGTTGGATGAATGACCTGGTGTTGGAGCATCCTTGGAAGGGACACCAAAGGCTCTCACCTCCAATAGTTCAAGTGAGCACCAGGCTCTGCAAATGTGAAATTGCTGGTTCAGAATAGAGCTTTATAAACTATTCGTATGAGCGGTATGGGAAACCGGGGGGACTTAAATGTAGCATGAGTTTTCAGAGGATAGACCTTTCTTCCTCAGGTATATCCTTAGGATGCCTCGGGTTCAATCCTTTGCGTCACCAGATAGGACAGGGAGTGGGAAAGGCCCTACCTGAACTCCTGGATCAAAACTACAAGTTAGTGCAGATCCGTTTTCTGCAACCTGGTATCCTCCAGCCACTTTGGACTGCAACTCTCGTAATTCCTAACCAGCGGCCATCAGGGGGCTGTGGCAATCATAGACCCAAGCACCCAGAGGGCCCAAAGCTGGGGAAGGCTCGTGTCGATCATCCGTAGCACTAGTGAACTCTCTTGGGATAAGGAGGCTTCCGCCTTCTCATCTTGGCTAAGAAGAAAGTGGCAATCCTCTGTATGTTTGCTTTCCTTTGCTTCCAAGGACGCCCACATTTGCTTTGGGGGAATAGCCTGCTGCCTCTTCAAGACTTGTTATGTATTTAGCGATGTTAACAAGGAACTGATTTAGTCAGTTAAGGGAGAAAGCTGGCCAGCTCAAGAAAAGGAAAGAGGTCCATGCAGCACAGTAACGGCCATTGTTTGCTTACTATTTAATCAAAGATACCATCCCATGGGGGTGCCTGGAACTCTCCAAACATGGAAGGTTGCAGGCATCCAATGCAGGGAAAAGCACAAAGGTTAGGGTTGCACCTCTGTCTCCCCCCAAAGGACATTAGGTGGCCAATTTCAGCTACCTAAAGTTTTCCCCCTTAGAGAGAAGAGCCTGAGGCACTGCCTGGATCTGTTGAAGATTGGCAGTCCTCTCTCCTCCCCTTCTCTAGAACACCCCTGGGGCCAAGGCTGTTCCAAGATCTTCTGTCTTCATGGATGTAGCCAACACAGAGATCCTCACCAGCTGTGAGAGTGGAGAGAGGGCCCTTCAAAGGTACCATCTCCTCTACAAACTTGGAGGGCTTTCTTGAGATCACAATGGAGACACCACCACGGTCATGCACACAACCTCTACTGGCCACAGAATTGCACAAAATTGCACCCAGACCAGTTTCGGTGAAGAAACACTAAGATCTATTTCTGCATATAGAAAAAACTGTGGTACCCTTGTTCCAAGTCAGCATGCTTAATTTTGGACTAAATTAGGAAACTGCATCAGTTTTTCACCATGGGAAGTAACACAGACACCAGTAATGTGGGTTGTTCTTTTCCGTACCTTTCGCAGCTCTATAACATCCCATTTGAGATGAGGTGGGGTGAGATTATCATCTCTTCTTCCTGGAGAGTCACAGACAGTTTAGAACCTTCCATCCCATCAGATCCCACTGGAATCGCTCATTTCCATAGCTTTCACCTAGGGGAAACCAAGACCAGGAAGGTGATGGACCAAATGTGCTTCCCCTTTTCCTCACTCACAATTTCCTTGTTCCAAATGGCCTTTCCAAACTCACAGGGTTGTTTGGATCTCGTGTGCACCACTTCACACTTATTTACTCTGAACCTCATGTTACCATTTTACTGCCCCTTCACTCCTTTTGAAGAGGTGAAACAGGCAGTCTTATATTGCCAGATTTTATTTATTTATTCATTTATTTGCTACAGCTCCAATTAGCACCCCCCAGCACAGACGGCAAAGGCCAATGGGAACTGTCATCAAAGCCATCCAGGGATCATATGGTCATTTCCCAATACTCTTCGGAGATTTCCAAAGAGGTAGGACCTTATGCATACAGAGGGTAAACTCTGCCACACAGCTATTACTTTTTGGAAATTCTTCACCTCCACTTGGGCTTTTATCATCCAGAACCATTGGGTGTCATGTGTGCACTTGGCTTGTTCTCTTTCAACTAGAGATAACTGATGAATATTGAATATTCATTCATTCATTCATATTTATTTATTTATTAAAATTGTACTGGTCCCAACACAAATCCTTGGACTTTCAAGGAATAGTTTTGCTACACTGTCTTTGGCCAAACATTGCCTTGCTGGTGAAGCATAAAAAACCCACTGGTTTCTTGCCAGTCTTTGGGACAGTGAATTACATTTGAAAAGCTGTGGAATTAAGTACGGCTTCTACTTAAGTAACTTTGGACATAATTTGCACTCTTTCCCCCCTTGTGTCATTCACATGTGTGTGTGTAAAGACTGAAAATAGTCTCACTGAAAGAAACAGTAGTGCGAGCATACATTAAAGCAAAGCTTTGATTCTGAACTCTTTATCCTGACTCTTGAACAATGGACACTTATGAATCATTTGCACTGTACAGTGCAGCCCTTTGAACAAGTAACAAGAGAAATCAGTTTGGTTCATGTATTTCTCATCCTGGATCTCAGTCATCTAGATTTAAAAATACATGTGCAGACTAAATGTCTGACGACCAAGTCGAACTCTTTAGCCACTGAGAGATGGTTGTAGGAACAATTCACTGGCAACTGGAAATGCAACAGGAAAATACAAGGCACGGCTGGTTCTTTGATCTTTGCTTAGGTGTTTATTTACCTGTTTTGTTTCAGTGGGAACATTGCCTTCCAGTGCATTATGTGTGAATTGGGAGAGAGCTGTTTAATGTTAAATGAAGGCTAATGGAGACTGAATTTTAAGATCTTAATGAAGCAGCACAGGTTCCTGTGCTTCCCCTGACACTTCAAAACTGTGATTTCCAACTTAATCAGATTATCCACCTCCAGATACAAAAAAGCCTTTTCTCTGGCTCCATGCAACATTTCCTGTGAACATCCAGGTGTAAATATTTAAACAATCCAGTTATGGCACCATCCATTGTGGCTACCCATGAATTCCAAGCTCAGAGGTGTGGTTGCAGGTATCCAATAGCACAGCCTTCCCCAGCCTGGTGGCTTTTGGGCCACAGATCTCAGGATTCCCATCCAGCAGGGCCATTGACTGGGAAGTCTGGGGATTGCAGTCCAAGCATGTCTGGAAGGCACAAGGTTGGGGAAGACTTCAATAGGGGGCAGAAAAAGTATGGAGGTGAGGATACTTTGGAGTATCCAACCCTCCAAACCAATTGGATTGCCAATATCCAAGTGTGTCGCACCTGCTCGCGAAGACAGAGGCTTCACCCCTCCCCTCCCCAGGTCCAGAACACATGACCCAGTGCCAAGCACAAGCTGCAAGGTCAGTTGGCAACCATGGAGTGGCAGCCAGCATAGAAAGAAGCAGGTGATTTGCACCAGCAACGAGACAGCAAGGTTGGAGCCTTTCCCACGGCCATCTAGAGAGCATCTGCCAGTCCTAGAACTGAGTCCTTAATAACAGGTGTTGTTCCTCCAACAGTGAAAAAGAGGAACCTGCTATGCATGTCTTCTCTAATTGTAGCTATCATCCATGGGCTAGAAGAAATTTGTTTCATCCGATTATGTACTCCTTTCATGGAAGGATCTTTGAGTCCTTCTTGATTATTTTATTTGAGGGCTGTAACATTACAATTGCAGAGCCAGTAGCCAAATGTTTAAATAAAGCCATTTGGATTGTCTCCACTATGAGCGTTTCAACTGCGTCATGATATTGTCTTTAAACTTTAATACTCTATGGCTTTCAACATGGATTTGGCATTCATGTATTTTTATTTTGTATGAATGTGGTTGCGAATTATATTTAGTAATATAATTAATAAAATATTACTACTTTTTAGTATACGCACTATACAATTTTTTAATTGCTTATCGGAAAGGTGAGATATAAATTAAAGGGAAACAGAATCATCAACAATTACAAGACTTGGGATCACTTCCTTGATACAACCTCATGTAACTTCAGACATGCGTGCAAAATTAAGCAACTATTGCAGAATTCCTGCAGAATCTTGCCATACAACTTCATGAAAAAATCCAGGGAGTGCCATGTAGGGAAGTTCTAGTGAAGAGAGGTGAGGGTATTTTAGTCAAGGAAATAATAAATCAAATTTATAGCCAGGGTAAAGGCCTACACTTGATTAAACAACAAAAATAAAGGGCATGTAGAAGCATTAGTAGTTACTTTTTCATACTTCATAACAGACAAAGATGCTCTTCAAGATGGATCACATGAAGGCCGAAACATGGAGCACAGGAAGAGCAGTGCTCTTCTGCATTCACAAACAATGCCCATAAATCTAGGAAATGCTAGTATCTCATACGTGGGAACACACAACAGAACAAGTCTCCTCCAAGAATTAATAATTCTTATCTAAATCATCCTGTACAATAGCCTCCCAGTATCTCAATCCTTAGGTTAAACAAGAACAATTTCAACAATAATAATACAAATTCTGCTGCCCACGTGATACAAACTAAGCTACAAAGCCTAACTTAATCAATTTGCATATTATTACCAAACGGCAGAATCCATGGCAATGGAAAGCAGGCCCAGGGGGACCATCTATCGCTATTTGGCATTACTGTATAGCAAACTCAACACTGAGTGCCAGCTGGAAAACCCAAGTATTACCACAGTGGAGCCTATGGAATCTGGAAAATCCCTACATTCCCCGTACATTGATGTGGTAAACTATGCTTAGTCCAATGGTCTATTCAGAGAACCACTAGTTTGTAATGTATGCCCCATGGTAGAACTTTGGATCCATGTTTCTCTGGATTCACTGCCGCACCCACCACCCTGGGGCACTTCGATTCTCAACCTTTTCACATAACCAACATTTGGGTGAGACTGAGGATGTCTCTACAGTCGCACCAAACATTTGGTACAAATGAAAAGTCAAAGCTGGCAGGAAGAAAATGAATTAGGAGCAGATGTTGACTCCTGTATCAGAAAGGAGAATTCCAGGGTGGTGTTCTGGGTGTGTTTGACTCCCAGAAAGGACTCCAGCTCCAGCTCCATTGCAGTGCAGTGGTGCATCCAAGGAAAAGGAGCAAAAGGGGCCCAAAAGCAGATAAGCTTGCACAGAACGGGAAAAAGGGGGAGAAATATAAGGCAAAATGAGTTTAAGCAGCGATGTTTATTTACAATCCCAAATATGCCTTATAGAGTAAGGATCTTTTTGTGCACATCAGTATTATTATATAGTTTCTGAAAATAAATGTAGATCAGTTTGTGCATTTCAAATAAAGCATCCACCTGTGCATTTCTTTCCATTTCATTTTCACATTGCATCAGGTCCTTGCTGAAAACCCTTGAAATAACTGTTGGCTTGCTCATGGCCAATTCTGTGTCACTGCTATGAAATTAGTCCTGAAATTAAATGGCTCAACAGCGCTAAGACATTCCCCAACTACTCCAGTAAGCAGTCACTCACCTCTAAGGTTAACAGGATAAAGGCTGGATAAAGAAACTGCTCATTATACCCGCTCTACAAAGAAGCAATTATGCGACTTTATAAAGTGGTTTCAAATATATTTTGCAAACTAGGACTCAAGACAAATATTAGAGGCAGCAAATTACAGTACTTAGGAGAATTATCACCCAAGTAAAGAGACTCTTAATCTATAAAAAATATCAACAAAAGATGTAAATATGGACTCCTCTATGGGTGGCATATCTCCAAGAAAATATACATCTAATCTCGCAGTGTGTAGCCTCCAGTACCTGGGGAGAAGGTTAACAATTCAGAGCTGTTTCCTACAGCTATAGAATATATTTTGATGTAGATTTGCAGATATCAGAGACTTTAAATCTATTATATAATCATAGGGCAAGGCTAAGAAACCTGTGGATGCACTTTTCTGGAGAAAAGAGGTACAATGCCAGTTTTCATTTTAATCAATTTTATACTGAGATTTTATACAGATTATGCTTTATTCTAAGGCATTTGGTTTTGACAACATTTTCACTACTAAGGGTAAAATTGCAGGTTGCATTACATCATTAACAGTGCATTGTACATTTTGCACTGAGATCCATGAAAGCAAGACAGTATGGCAACTCGAGCTGGTAGACTTACTCTGACCCTATCCACGATGGACAAAGAACACCAGCCTAATTCATTTTGGCTATTTGGCTACTGGGCGGAATAGAAATAAAATAAAGACGAGATTAGGAATTGGTGATGCTGTTTAGTTCATGCACAGATACACGTGGTCATTGGTACTGGTTTTAACCTTTAAAGCTTTCTGTGGCTTGAGCCAAAGTTATAGAAAGACCATTTTCTCCCCTTTGCCCTATTTGAATATCTCCCTTTGCTCTGCTTCAGGTGACTCACCAAATGAGGTGAAGCAGGTAAGGGTTACAAAGAGGCCCTTCTCAGAATTGTTCAGAATTTAGAACAGCCTTCCCAGAGTGGTCTGTCTGGCAGGAATTTTCAGCGATTCATGCTGACTGGGCTTCTCAGTCTTAAAAATCTATGTTTAAATTATATGTTAGGTGTAATCATTATCATCTTCCATATTCAACCATTTCTACACACACTGTTTTAGTTGCTATATTCATTGCTTCTTTTCTGTTAAGAGTGCCAAATGCAACCTATAACCCAGGATGAAGATTTAATTCATACAGTAAAATGGCCATTTTTACAATGCAGGGCTGTGGTCACGAGAGAGGTTTGTCAGTGATCTCCCGCAAGAGGAGCTAGACAGTGGCAGGACAAAGGCCCAACGGACACATTTCAGAAGAGCATTCTGGGAAGTCCCATTACCACTTTGGTCCCCACACATTCATTTTCCCATGCCTTGACACGGTTGGAGTTACATTTAATCCAAAGAATGCCAATTGATAATCCTGAATATATGAATACAACAAGAGTATTTTTATTTTTATTTCTGTTTTTAGAATTAATTCATTGTAAACTGTCCTGAGACGTCTAAGTATGGGACGGTATAGAAAAGTTTTTAACAATAATAATAATAATAGCATTCCTGCATTGCACAACATAATGTAGGAATTCAGTATGCTTGTGAGTCCTAGGTAATAGTGAGGTGCTTTCTAATGCCTAAACTTAAGGGTGTTGTGGGACTTCATATCCTAAAGTCCGACTATCAGTTATTATTGATGGGATGAATGCGGGCTGGATTTTAAGACTCTCTGTAGAGCCGAAGGTTCCTCTCTGGCAGTTTAAACTATTTGACAGATGAATTTCCCATCCCGGCCCTACTAGAAGATGCAAAGAATGGATCCTGGTTTCTACAGTATACAAATCCTATGCTATACCATAGGACCTCCCTGAACAGGAAGCAATATTCAATGCCCTTTGCTGCATATCTTTCTATTAAAAATAAACTAAGTCAGCTCCTCATTCTAGCACCCTTCTGTCTATAGAGTAGCTAGAGGTGGCAGACTTAACCATGACTATGGGGGAAGGGAAATAAAGTTTAAAAGCAGTTCAATTTTAACTTTTCAAAGATTGAAGTAAAACAAGGTTGTGAACAATCAGATTAATTTGTAGCAGGTGACTCACAAGATGATGAACTTCTGTTTGAACAAGCACAAGGAAAATTCAGAAGTAAAACCACATTCTCCAAAGGTTTTAATGTGTGGGGGAGGAGGCAGGAAATAGCCGCATTATATGGACTTTCCACTGGCTTCTACATCTAATCACACTCTGATCCAGCCTTTAATGGCTTGTTTAAATGCATTAAATCAGCTGAGCTGTGCTGGCAGGCACTTCTTTCACAAATATTTCCAATATTTTGCAGATCAGGCAATCAAGAAATCTAAGAAAATCAATACTAGTTCCTTCAGTTAGGACTTCCCATCCTCCTACACACAAATACTTATTTTTCTGGAACAAGTATGGCTGCCAACTGGCAGTGGAGAGAACTGGCCTGAACCATTTTTTCTGGGAGGCATCAATTACCAGGCAGCCCAGTTTCCCTCTTGGGAGATTTTTTGACCCTAAGCTTGCATGTTAGACAAGGTATGTCCTAAGGCTGTGAATGGGTGAGGGCAGGCATGTCAACATGGGTCCTGACCAACAATGGTTGGAAAGGCGATGCTACCGAGCTGGTTGGTCAACATGGACAACCACATGAGTGGAGCGGGACGGAGCCGGGGTCGGGTTAGATCGCCCGGGAGACCCCTTCTGAGTCACTTCGTTTCTATCTTTCTATGTATCCTTTGTCCTGAGGGGCAATTCTAGCTGGTTTCCTCAGAGACTGGCTGCGTCTTTTTGCTCACTTCTAACGATGGATGGAGCCAACCAAGGTGAGTTCATCACATCATCCCTGGGTGTGAGTTGAGCCCACCAGGGCCAGAGAGCCTCATTCCTACCTTGCTTCCCCAGAACCCTCAACCAAGTTGTTTCAAGGCAGCCACGTCAAAATGGGTAACATGCTTTCTGGAATGGATTCCAAAACTGTTAATTCCTTGAAAATGTGTTACGTAGGATTATGCAGCATGCATGCATATGATTTAATAAGTCGTCTGCAGCAGTGCTTACCTGCTTGAGTTTTCTGTTCTTCATGCACCATTACTCAGCTTTACTCTGGACTGATCTGTGTTGGCCTGGAATATGGAAATAGTGGCAAGGGACTTACAAAGATCTATCACAGGTACACCCGTTGCATCAACAGAGCTTTTCTGTGGGTCCTGCCCCATCCTGCCACCTTTTTCCTTTCAAGAATTGGCACTTGAGAGCTCGTGTGGCTACGGGTTAGAACGCTGGGCTGGAACCCAGGAGATCTGGCTTCCACTCAGTCCTGTGTTGGGCCAGTTGCTCAGTCTTTGCCTCACTCCCTCACAGGATTGTGGGAAGAGAAACATGGAGATGCGGAGGAAGATCCACCTGGGATCCCCTTGCAGAAAAAAGAAAGCATATACTATTTTTTTCAAATGTATCCCTAAATAAAACCCTGGACCTATTTCCATACTGTTGCTACTACATCCTAAGTGTCTCGTGGAAAAAGATGTTAATCAAATGAGGGCCCCACAAAAGAATTACACCAAAACTTAATGCTACATGCATAGTGCCGGTGATGATTAGAGACAGTGGTTTTGGCTAGCAAAACCAAGTGTGGCAGCTGAGCAAATTTAATTACACTCATAAATAATATTAATTTTAACAGTGCTTGCCTTCCTTTCTGGACATATATTTTGCCTATAATACCTGTCCTGCACTTAGAGTGCTGACATATTAACAGATGGTCCTTCCTGTGTGTTACAGCAGATCAGCAGGAGGTGTCATTTCTGGTGGTCGTGTCTTCTTCTAAGTTATCAAAACTCAATACCACATGGCACAAAAACAGCACAGACATTTCCTGTTGGCTGGAAAGCGCATGGCTCAGCACTGGAACTCTCTCTGCCACTCACAATTTTACTTTCTTCACCCGCTCCCCCTGCACAAAAAACCTAAAATGTCCTGACATTTATGGAGTACATTTTATTCCTGGAGTCTGTTAAGAAGCCAAATACTTCTGTATTGAACTACACAACCATAAAGGAGGAAACATTCTTTTTGAAATCTCCATATCCTTTAGATGGATTGTACAGTGCACCACTAAATCAATAGTGAGAGAAATAAGGTGAGAGGTTTACTATAAAATTAAATCAAAATTTTTATAGTACATGAAAATGGCTATATATACTAAAAACACAATTCCTTTCCTCCTCGAACTCCAGTGAAATGTACCAGGATATTCCTGCAGTTACCAAACATGTCTAGACAAACTATTCCCGAACATCTTTATACTCAACATTACTATTTCTATTTTATAGGTTATGAAGGAGTTAGACTCAATGACAAGTCACTTGAGAACCAAGAGGCCTTTCCCCAGTGCATTCTTATTTGGGGAAAAATTTAAGATTTGTATTAAAATAACTGAAGGGCTTATAAGAACTTGGTCCTGTAATTCCCCATTTTTAAAAATATTTTTCTTATTGTTTTCTTCGCTGTTAAAATCTGATCTAGGATTATAACATATAAGTACTGCACTTCATTTATAATGCTTTCTTAACTGCAAATGAAACCCACAAAGGAAATAAGCACCGCCACTTACCTTTTTAAATGTAACTGTGGAATACTAGCACATCGTTTTCTGTTGCCTTCCCAGAACCTTAGTGAAAGGTCAAATATATAAGACAGAATTCTAACACAACAAGATTTCACTCCCATGTTAATGCACTTCAGATCAAGTCTGCAAAAGTGAAAATAATAAATTTAGGAAAACAAGCAAAATGACCCTACTGGTTGGTTGGTTTCCTAGATATCATCTACATATTTTAGAAACGTACAACCTTCTAATAGAAATGAATAAACTACTCAACCATAAAGTTGCTATAGAAGATATTCTTGTTCTGATTGGAAAGGGCATCTGCTATCTACAATATTGATAATACTTTTCAAATTTCATCTGCTTTTGTTTGCATTCTGTGTCGTCTGTTTAAACACAGTTGGAATAATAATGAAACCTAGCATTATCTTCACTTTTTCAAGGCCGAACATATAACTTTATCACAAAAATAATTAAAATTCTTTGGCACTCTTGTATCTTTTCCATTAAACGTTATCAAGCAGTGACAATAAACTAACATCAGTCCAAGGCTGTCCATATGCTGCTTTTTTAAAAGAATGTATTTATCCCAGGGTGAGATGCATGAATTTTGTGTTTACAGGGTCAAACAGCTTCAAAGTTTTTTTTACTATAAAACTGGGGTTAGGACTATAAATCTAGGGACACACACATACACAAAAGCAAGGATCATTAGGTAAGGCTGAAATACTTACAACTGACGTGTAAGGCTTGCCACAAAATCACAATGCAAGCAACCCAAACAGCACCCATTCTTCAGCATTTTAGATGAAATTTACATGAAACCAGGGTTCACCAGCCCCAATCCCAGGACCTATTGTCAGAGCCATGCAATGTGTGAAGTACCCATCTACCTCTGAGCATGTGCAGAATACCCTTTCTCCATCAGTTACTACAACTCTCATTTATTTTGGACTTGGAGGAAGAACCAGACCGGAGGCTATGGTGTCTTTGTTATCTTGTTACCCAATATTTCACATTTTTAGAAATTTAGCATTGCTTTTAAATCCAGATACACTGTCAAATATGGACATTTGAAAATATACCTGATTAGGTGTCAAATGAGTTGTGTAATGCTGAAACCTATTGCTGAATAGCACACTTCCTGTGTCAGAATGCTTTTCGTTTTTACAAATTGTTGAATGTGGCCATTTAGCAACATATTGTGAACAGTGATGGATTAGTTCAGTACCAGTTTTCAACTACTCGGCTATACGAGACTCTGCATATACTTATGCTGGAGAAATCCTCCATTGTGTCAAAGATTTGACTGCAGAATGTGTTGCGTGGGGACTGCAAGCAATCACAGCCAGCTAAGTGCCAAGTTGGCTTAATACATAAGCAGCCTTTGCAACTGAGAATCGCTGCAAGTCAGCTTCAGAGCACATGTGACGCGATGATGACCTTCTAGTGGCTGCTCAGCTTGGATCCCAGCTCTCATAGTCTTGGACTATTGGCTAAGTCCGGGACGAATGAGAGCTGGAGATCCTCGGGATCCACAGGACCTGCATCCCCATCAAAGACTGAGCTGTGGATCAAGAATCCCACATTTAAATCTCCTATCTGTCACGAACTAGGTGGCTATAGGCCTGAGTCCCTGTATTTGCAAGATGAGGGATAGCAGTATGTGTTTATTCAGTAGAGTTATATCCTGCCATTTTTTCTTTTTTAAAGAACTCAGAATGGATTACTTCAGTCTCTTCCTCCTGCTCCCCATCTTATCCCCACAACAACCCCCCTGTGAGGTAGGCTGGGGTGAGAGTCTGTGACTGGCCCAGAGTCACCAGTTGGCTCCATGGCTGAGCGGGGACTCGAACCCAGATCTCCTGAGCCCCAGATCCACGCTCTTAACCACTACATCACGCTGGCTCTCAGTGCGACTTCCCTTACAGGGCTTCTGTAAAATAACAGCTACATAATGCTTGCAACATGATGTGAATGCCGAAAAGTGCAGGATACAAATTTTAAGTTATTCTAGATCAGAAGAACAGCAGCGGAAAGTGGCTCTTAACCCTTTCCATTCAGGCTGCTTTTCAGATGGCAAGCATCGAATGCACACGGATAAACACTTTTCTTTTTGCCGTGGAAAGGATACAGGGTCCCTGCGTCTTTTCCTCCCACAGGTGGAGAGGAAGCAGAAAGAGCAGTGATTTTGGTCAGAAAAATTACCATAGGAAAAGCACTCCCATTGCCTGCATCCAGCTCTGATTGGGTCCAAAGCCCTACAGTGCTTCATGTGATGAAGCACAAATAGAACAGAAAGGTTTCTCATTGCACCTAGTTGGAGTATAAAATGCTATTTTATGGGTGGGAGCTTTTTCCCCTAGCAGTGTACCCACAGCCACTGTGCTTTTATGAGAATATAAACAGTAAAGAGAAGAATATAGCATTATTTATTACTCTGATTATTAATCATCTTTCAGCCCCCAAAGTCCATCAAGGCAGAAGACAATGTTAAAAACAATAATATTTTGAACATTGGAAATTGCACTATGCAATATGAAAGCCACCTACTTGAAGTAGAAAAGAAACACCTTTAAAAAATCAGAGATTAAAAACTATCAAAAGTCTCTTCAAACCATGAAGAAGATAGAGTCAATCCAGCTTTCCCAGGAAAGCGCTTCTGCAAGTGGAAAACCGCTACAGAAAAGCCTCTGCCTCGTGCATCCTCCAGGATCCTCCCTTGGTGATGGGATGCAGAACAGGGCTGTGGATTAAGACCATTGCAAACAGGCTGATCCAAGAGGAAGGGATCTTTCTGATCTTCTGGCCTCAACACATTTAGGGCTTTACACATAAGAATCAGCAGTTTTAAATGAACTTTGAAAAAAATTGGAAGCCAGTGCATTGGTGCAGCATCCATGAATGCTTTACAGTCTGGTTGCCACATGTTGCATTTACGATTTCCAAATACTGTTAATGGGCACCCGGCATTTTACTAATCTAAATGAGAGGGAACTGAGGAGTGGATCGCAATGGTCAGATCCACCTTGTGCAGCTGGAACACTGCCCAGCTCAGGGCTCAAGGCACTCCGACCTTCCCAGCAGCCACCTGGAGCAACCTCGGTTGCAGAAGTCAGTGGGAGTGCCATGCGAGCAATGTTGCCAACCAAGCATCTTGCAGTGAGTTTCCTGGGTTGTCCCTCGCCAGCCTGATATCTAGAAAACAGCGACATGTCACCACCCAAACCGCTCCACGGGCAGCACTGTGCTGCAACCAGGTTGGAAGAGAAGGGAAGCTACCAAGCGACCTTGAAATGAGGGCTCACCCAGGCTCTGCCTAGGCACACCTTTGCCATGGGCCAATTAACGGAGAGCAACAGCAGTTTGAAAAAACGGTGCACTAGGATGCAGGACTCTGTCTTCCACCCTTACTACATTTTAAAGAGGTAGCACCCATTTATAAAGCCAAGGCTGTTCCACTCCCTTCGGCATCGCGCACACACAGTAATCCACCAGGTTTACTCAGCAAGCAAATAGGCCTGACTTACTAAATGAATCCATCAGTATAATTGAAGGACTCAGTTCAGGGGAGAACTCCCATGTGGAAGCAGAAATGTTAAAGAGATGTTAAATTTTCTTTTTCTTTTTAGTTTGGTTAGCCCTCTCTCGATAATCAGAAGCAAAATTCCTACACTCCTGCATCTCATGTGGAATGCTTAAGCAAGAAATCCATAACTTTTAATATGATGAGATTGTCCTGCTAGAGGAGATGGATTTTTTCCAATATCCCTGCTAACAAACAAGCCGAGTTCCCTGTATCAGCACATTTCCGTCTTATATTCCACGACATTCATGTGCTTCATTTAGAAGCGCTACATGGCTCAGAAGAGATACGTAGCTCAGTATTTTAAAATGACATTAGAAATGGCATACATAGACACGATTTGCTGATGGGCAGGTATCTTAAGCAGTAAAACTTCAGAATTACAAATGCTGTAAGAAAGGAGGTGATCAAAGGGTGAATGGCACTGAACATGCTCCATCCTCTTTAACCTGTAGAACTTGTTTCCAGATAAACCTTGAAAGACCCAACAAAATGGCACCCTGGAAGATTCGTGTGTTTCAACATGTATCGCACCCAACCAGACAGTGAGAAAGGGGCCAGTTTGCCTGTTTGTTTTAATCAACAAAAGAAATGCACAGCAGTTATCAATCCTCAGCCTACCCTTGTCCAGACTACCCTGCCTCTTGAGAAGGCAAGTCCCTGGTTTGTAATTTAAAGCAATTGGCTTTCCTTATGCAAAAAGGCATGAGGGACCCTTGCTTCAGGCTATGCAATAGCTCTGCTACAAGCAATGTCTACCGAGGAGCTGAGAAAAACCAGCTTCTGAGGGCCAAGGCGGCCGGCCAGCTGGGGAAAGAGCTGAGACCAAATTCTTGGGATCTGTTACAGCCCTCCCTTCCAACTGGTTATCGAACAAGCCAGTGCCTTTCCTTGTGGAGTCTCTTGGACAGCAAATGGCTTGGATTGGCACGATAGCCCGCACCGTCCCTCCTTCCTCACTGAATGTCCTGCTCTTGGGTCTCTCATGCTTAATCTGCCCTACTTCTCTTTACTCCAGGTTAGGATTCCCAGAATTTAGAACAGCTTGTGGGACCATCTGCAATATTTTCATTGCACTCAGCCTAAGCCACCTCCTTCCTCTTCCCCTCCTCATCTGGGTCCAAATCAAATCCCACAGCATCCTGAAGTCTCTCTCAGCATGGAGCTGCTGGGCTTAACCCCAGCCAGCTTTTCCATAGCTTCGTTCCTCGAGGGCTTTCACTCTTGCAGCATTCAAACACATTTACACAGAAAAGCACCAGGGCATCAGAAACCCATCAGTTAAGCAGCAGAGATGAGATGGGGAAAATTGCATTTTTTAGCAATGTCCAAGTGGACTGTTCAGCCTTCCCTCTACTACACCAGGCCCATCTGTGTTTAAGCACACACTTCCTACACCATCATCTCACCGGATTCTAAGTGGTCCAGGTGAGGACCTTTTCTGGAGTGGTTCCACACCTTTGGGATGAGTTCCCATCCGGGACCCAAGCAGGCTCTGCCACTGGGCATTTTAAGAAGGTGCT